ATGTGCTGGACGAGCAGGAACTTATCAATTTTCTCCTGACAGTCTCCTGCGCCCATTTTGGTGAGTGTGTCTTTGGTGAGTCTCACCATTTTCTCCACTTGCCTGTTTCCAGCCAGCCTGTAGGGGCGATGAGGGTGTGCCTAATGCCCAACTCTGCTAGGAAGGCTTCCATGATCTTGGAAGTGAGCTGGGGGCCGTTGTCCGAGACCAGGACATCTGGGAGGCCGTGCGTGGCAAACAGCCAGTGGAGTGCCCTGATGGTGGCCTCCGTCGTGGTGGTGGGCATCGCGATTACCTCCAGCCATTTAGAGAATGCATCCACCACGATGAGGAGAGACTTGCCATCTATGGGTCCTGTGAAGTCAATATGAATTCTCAACCAGGGGCTGCTGGGCATCTCCCACTCCGTTGGCTGGGCTTGCGATGGCGCCGGTCTCACCTCCTGGCACGGGTCACATCTGGCGATCCACTCTTCAATGTCTTTGTCTAGCATTGACCACCAGACATAGCTCCGTGCCAGGGCCTTCATCCTGACGATGCCAGGATGCCTGCTGTGCAGTGTCTCTAGGGTTTTCTTCTGAAGTGCGTGTGGAATCACCACCCTCTCGCCCCAGAGGAGGCAACCTTTCATTGTGGAGAATTCGTGTTGTTTCCGAACGAACAGGCTGAACTCTTCGCCCACTCTCCCAGTCGGCCAACCCCTCAAGCTCCAGGACATGACTTGCCTGAGGGTTTATCTCATTGTGTGTGCTTCGCCACGGTGGTGGATGACACTGGGCACAACTGGTCATCATCTATATGGAACAGTCCAAGAGTGGGTGCCGGGTCTTCCACTGGCTCTTGGATAGGGCATCTGCTGAGGGCATCGGCATTGCAGATGGTCTTGCCAGGTCTGTGTACCAGCTTGTATGAGTAGCCGGAGAGGAAGATGGCCCAGCGTGTCATCCTGGGTGACATGTAGGTGGGCGTTTGTCTGTCTCCCGCAAGGAGTCCCAGCAGCGGCTTGTGGTCCATTACGATGGTGAACGCTCTCCCATACAGATATTCATGGAAGCACTTGATGCCAGCTACGATGGCCAAGGCTTCCTTGTCCAGCTGGCTGTAGTTGTGTTCAGTCGTGGACATCATTTTGGAAAAGAACGCAATGGGCGCTTCTGATCCATTGGGAAGCTGGTGGCTGAGGACAGCGCCAACTCCATATGGCGATGCATCACAGGTTAGAAGCAGGGGGAGTGTCTCATGGTACTGCATGAGGACGCTGTCCGAAGAGAGTAGTCTTTTGATGTTCCGGAAAGCTGACTCTTCTTCTTCTCCCCATTTCCAAGGGACCGCCTACGCTAAAAGTTGATGGAGTGGCTCAGCAACAGTGGCTTTCTGTTTTAAAAAGACACTGTAAAAATTCAGTAGTCCCAAGAAAGCCTGAAGCTCTGCTTTGTTTTTGGGGGCTGGAGCTTCGTGGATTGCTTTAATTTTGCTTTTGGTGGGGTGGATGCCTTTGCTATCAATTAGGTAGCCCAGGAAGTCGACCTCCTGGACCCCGATGACGCACTTGTCCCTCCTGACTCTTAGACCCTTCACCTGAAACCGCTGCAGGGCAAGCCTGAGCTGTTCCAGTAGTTGGGCTTCCGAGTGGCCAGAGACCAAGACGTCATCGAAGTATGGCACCACCCCTGGAATGCCTTGCAGAAGGCATTCCATCATCGATTGGAAAATGCCTGGGGCAGCGCTGACTCCAAATTGGAGGTGGTTGCATTTGAAAGCGCCCCTGTGAGTGACAATGGTTTGAGCCTCCGTGGTTTTTTCATCGACTGGCAGTTGCTGGTAAGCCTGGGCCAGGTCCAGTTTTGCGAATATGGTTCCACTCCCTAGCGAATGCAACAGATGTTGCACCACTGGGACTGGGTATGCGCTCTGCTGTAATGCCCTGTTAATGGTGCATCTATAGTCAGCGCAGATGCGCACAGATCCATCATGCTTCATTGGGGTCACAATGGGGGTCTCCCATGCAGTATGATCAATCGGCTCCAATATGCCCTGGGTGATTAATTTGTCCAGCTGGGCATCAACTTTAGGACAGAGGGCAAATGGAACCCTGCGGGGCTTTAGCCGAATTGGAGTAATTGTGGGGTCTAAATTGAATGATATGGGTTTCCCCAAAAATTTACCTAAGCTCCCATTGAAGACGTCCTGGAAGTCCTCTAGGAGTTTGTCGAGTTCGCTCTGCCTGATCTGGTTAATCCCGCCAATGCTGAGCCCTAGAGGCTTGAACCACTCCACTCCAAGAAGGGTTGGTCGAGTCTCCCTGAAGACTGCAATGGGTAGGTCCCCGGAGAAGTCTTTGTAGTGGACTCTGAGTTTGGTCCTTCCCAGTATTCCGATTGGATGGCCTTCAAAATCCACTAATTTCACTTTCAGAGGCTGGAGGTGGTTTTTAGCAATCTGCGGCTTGAGTCTCTTGAGCTGGGCCCAGTCTATGATGGAATAGGGCGATCCGGAGTCGATCTCCATGGGGCATGGTGTCCCTTCCATGTTGACGGTCATGTGGAACTTGTTGGATCCCTCAGCAGCGGCGTGTGCTCTTTGTGTAGCCTTCTCCCTCACGCCTCGGGTATTGGGACTGTCTAGATGATCTCTGGTTCTCGCGGTCGCGGGTTCTGGGAGCCTCCGTAACTGGTTCTGCTGCTCTGCACACCTCGGTGATGTGGCCCTTCCTCCTGCAACGCCGGCAGGTCGCATCCCCCCAGCGACATCTGGCGCGCACGTGATCCCCGTTGCAGCTGGCACAGCGTTCCTCTCGCCTGCCATCCTGAGGGTTTTCCTGCCGTTGGGGTCTGAGGACCTTGTGGACGGCCATTTCAGCTTCGGACTCTGACCCCATGGTGGTCTCGTCTGATGAAGTTTGGGGATTCTTGTGAATCTTATGGATCCCCTTAGACCTCCTCATGGCAGCTACAGCTTTCTCCGACGATTCTGCAGCTGTGGCTTCTTCGAGCACATCTCTCAGCGAGACCTTCTTACGGCTGAGGAGTTTCTTTTGGACGGAAACATCCCTCATCCTGAAGACAATCCAGTCTCGCAGTTGGATGTCTACGTTCTCGAACTCACAGCTGGCTGCAATTGTCCGGAGTGCAGATATGAAATCCTTGACGGATTCGCCATCCCATTGATTCCGTTGGTGGAAATCAAACCGGTTGGCTAAAGGGGTGCTGGTTGGAGCATAATGCTCTTGCAGGACTTCCTGAAGTTCGGTCCACGGCATCAGCTTGATGTCCCGCAGTGCGATGAAATCCATGGCCCTTTCCAGGACCCCGGAGCCGCAGTGAGCCAGGAACAGGGCTTGCTTCCTGTTGTCGTCCAGGTCAGTGAAACTGCTGCCCGCCAGGAATTGTCTGAACCGGACCATGAAGACCATGAAGGACTTCCATTTCTCCTGGTTCGGATCGAACGGAGCCAGCGAGATCTGGTTCAGCTTCAGTGACTTAGCTCAAGTGAATCAGCTCTTGGTAGATTGTGGCGATCATGCCACGAGGTATGCTGTCAGTTCTTTTGTGTCCTTCGTCGCCAGTGTTAGATCGGTGCAGGGAAAAGAAGACGCGACTCAGCAGAGGTCCGTTCAGCACTTTAATTCAGCTCATACAGAACTGCTGGCTGAGCTGCCGAGCCTTCCTTATATACAGCTCCGGAAAGCTAGCCGGGCAATGACATTTATTTAAACTTCCCGCCGGTGGATTAGCCAGCCACCGGCGGATGCCCATATAAGGACACAACAATTTATATATTTCTTTGCTTGTTCTTAAAGACATTCATCAATAATTATCTGTACACTTTTTTAGCCTTTCCCAGTCTGAGGTCCTCCAAAAGAATTAGAGTATACCATATTTTTCAGAGTATAAGACGCTCCAGACTATAAGACACACCTAGCTATTTTGGAGAGGAAAACAAGAAAAAAAATCTGCCTTTGCCTCCCAGCAATTTGCCTCCTTGCAGCCAACAGCCTGCTTTAGTTTCATTTTCATTTTCAGCACACCCTGATTAGCACAAGGAAAAAAAATCTTCTTCACAGCAATTTGCCTCCTTGCAGCAAACAGCGGAGGCCCAAGTGGCAATAGGCAATGGCAATCCCTGCAGCCTGAAACAGCTGAGGGTTGGGAGGCCGATCCAATCGACAATCAGCTGCTTGTGTTAATCAGGCTATGCTGAAGCTGAAACGGGCTGTTTGCTGTTTGCTGCAAGGAAGTAAATTGCTGGGAGGCAGAGGCCAAAGGGTGGGGGCCGGCTGGTGGGCAGGGCTACATTCGGTGTATAAGACACACCCAAATTTTCACCCTCTTTTTTTGGGGGGGGAGGGGGAAGTGCATCTTATACTCCGAAAAATACGGTAAATCCCACTAAATTTCTGGTCAGTACTAAACTGGAGATTATATACATTTATTATATTTTTTGATAAACATTTTCTAGATAGTATATATGCTTTCCTCAAACTCTTAATATAATACTGAGTGAAAGATTATACATGCACAAAATATCCCAAGGTCCATTTTCTTTACATCTTATTAAAGTATCTATATCTCTGCTCTCATAGTTAATTTTTCTTGCTACCTATGATTTCAAGATTTAATTGCAGCTATCTCAGTATAAGTAAGACCATTATTGTCAACATGGAAGAATAAGATTAATATTTTTTTCCCGAAGGGTGAACTTCAAAACTTGTATATCAGCCAATTTGGAAGAAACTATTTGTAAACTGAATAGCTTATATGAGAAAAGTGAGAAATGCTAGATGAGAAAAAGTTAGTGTTTATGTTACTGAAATCCCTTTTTAAGTAAAATTTTACTTTCAATCATGTAAATAAAATGAAGATAACTATACATTTTTATGGAAAAGGTTTAAATGCTTATAACTGAATTATACTTAAGATTTGTAATTCATAATAAAAAAACTTTACTTTGTATTTTGGAATTATAGTAACATTTTACCATTTGATGAAAGGATACTTTACCCTATTTTCCTAGGCCCAGTGAGAACGAATTTTGTCCCACTTGTAAATGAAGCTAACATATCTTGCTTTGATGTATCCTCTAAGGTTTTTGGAGAATGATCTTTGGATCTGCTTTCTAACAGTGCAGAGGAAGAATCTTAAAATGAAAGAAACAGATTATGTTAACAAAATGCCTACAAGCTGAAAAAAAAATTAAGCCAGTTATTTCACAAATGTTAGATATTCACTGAATAAGCTGGGACCATTGAAAGCTAAAGCATTCACAATTTGATATGCTTTTATTAGGTATAGAGATAGATATATACTATGTTTCTGTTTTATGTATGTTGTAATAATTTGACCAACTAACATAAATGAAAAAGTAGGGGATAAGGCTGGGAAATAATTGCAAGAAAAGAGAGCTATAGAGTTTAGGTACTGACCTACTCCCCATAGAATCCTTTCATCATATGTCTATCAATAGAAGGCCAGAAAGAGACAGAGAGTAGGTAGGAATATATACTGCTCAAAAAAATAAAGGGAACACAAGCAGAAGACATCCAAGATCTGATTGAATGAAATAGCCTTATTAAATACTTCGGTCTTTACCTACAGTAGTTTATACACTGCTCAAACAACTAAAGGGAACACAAAACTACTGTATGTAACAAACAAGTATTTAATAAGGCTATTTCATTCATTCAGATCTCGGATGTCTTCTGCTTGTGTTCCCTTTATTTTTTTGAGCAGTGTATAATAAGATATATATATTTCATAATATTAATCCCATTTAAGCTTTAAACGCAGTGGTGGGATTCAAATAAGTTAACAACTGGTTTGCCCAGGGTCAGATTCACTGTTGTGGGAGGCGTGGCCCAACCCCATCCTCCAGCTCTGCTGCACATGTGGGACAAGCCTCCCGTGTCAGCCAACCTGATCCTGGGCAAACCGGTTGTTAAATTTTCACCCTTTGCCAAAAGGCTGTTTCTTAGGGTGCTTGTCTGCACGTTGGTCTCACGGCTGTTTCAGCCTTCTGGACGCAGCTCTTTTAAGAGGCAAGGTTTCTGAGGAACGAGGAGGGGGGTTACCATAGAGACAAGGAGTTGATGCTCCCGAGAGCTTGTGTGGGAAGGTAAAGAATTTGGGGGAAGTGGAGGAATTCCCCCCTCCCCATGGAGCTGCGTGCAGGGGGTGTTGGTCAGTTTGCAGGCAAAAGTGAGAGGGGCAAGGAATTAAGTTGGTAACATGATAGAAGCTGGGCCCAATGTAGGGGAGACTACAAGTTTAGTTTGGCCAGGCAAATTATTACTACCACCACCCGCTATCAAAGTGGATCCTGGGCGCTGCGCTGCAATGGAGAAATGGACAATGGAGCGGCTGGCACGAGACAAGGAGGAGGAGCAGGGAGAAGAAAGAGGGAAAGCGGCCTTCTCCTTCCCTCGTGCCGGCCACTCCATTACCCATTTCTCCATTGCAGTGGTGCGCAGTGCCTAGGATCCACTTTGATAGTGGAGGGTGGGTAATTTAACAACCGGTTTTCCTGAACTGGTGCAAACCAGCTGAATCCCACCACTTATTAACAAATATGTTGTGCTGGACTCAAAAGTTTATCAGAAATCAAAGAGAAGTTAAGCATGCTTCATATAACACAAGAAGTGTATAATCATTGATAAATATCTATGTTTTGGTACCAATAGCTCTATGTGATTATTCTAATGCAGACTTACTCAATCTGATGCCTTCCAGATACATTAGAGCTACACTTTACAGAATCCCCAGCCAATTCCAGTTGGGAATTATAGTCCCAACATATCTTGAACATATCAGATTGGGTAAGGATACTGCAATGTATATAAGAAACTATATTGTATGGATAACCTTATAAAGTGTACTGTCTTTGGTGAAATCTTCCTGGGTAAATGACATCAAAGTATCTTACCATGTAAGATAGAAAGTTAGCTTATTCTATATTAAGTCTGACTATATAATTTGCTTTGACTGGCAACAGTTTTCCAAGATGTCGTGAAATATCTTCCCAGGTCTACATTTGCAATGTTATACAGTACTTGGATTGAAGGATCTTATTTTTACCAATAAGCCAATGGGATAAGAGACTAGTATTCATTGTAGTGTACTGTACTAATAATATATTTGGAACCCTCTCGATTAACTATGTTCCAAAAATGCAAAGAATAATTCAGAAAGCAGCAATACTTTAAACAGTTTGGGGCAGCTGTGATCCTCTAAAATTGCTCAACTATTCTTCCCGTATGCAATTTCCCACTGGCCATACAAGCTGGAGCTGTTGGGAGCCTGTAGTTCAGCAAAGCCCCCATATATTTATTTGGAAGTACATACTTTACTTTCCTGTTTTTTACCTGGACCTTTGAGAAGAATAGACTGCCGAACAATATCAGTTCCAAGGAGCTTGGACTGCTTGAAGCGTTTTGCTCTCTCTTCAAAGAACCATTCACCTGTTACTACCCTAAGCTGCCTGTATTAAAAAAGAAAGCAGTGAAGTCACTCTAACCATTAGTTGGAGAATAACAGAGTTCGAAGGGACCTTGGAAGTCATCTAGTTCAACCCCCTGCTCAAGCAGGAGATCCTATACCATTTCAGAGAAGTGACTATCCATTATCTTCTTAAAAGCCTCCAGTGATGGAGCACCCATAACTTCTGAAGTCAAACCATTCCACTGGTTAATTGTTCTCACTGTTAGGATAGCCACTTAGTCCTCTGGTTATCTCACCCATCCAAGACATTTGTAAATATTGCTTTAGAAATTACTAAGATAAAAAAAAAACCAGTTTTGGAAACAATACACCAAAAATTTGTGCCATTCATTACACTAAGCTACATTTCATCAAGTCCACTTTAAGAGGTCATTAATATCTATTAATTATATGCAAATTATATGCATGTATATGCAAATATATGCAATTAAAACTTAGAGTAAATAAAGGAAAGGATGTAGAAGAGTCGGCAGAGCTGGGGGCCGAGTTAAACATGTTATCATCTTAGAGTCTTTATGCTGCTACCAATGATCTAAGCCTAGCACCCCCTTGAATTCCTTTGATCTTTATATAGTGCCAATTTAGTGCTGTTAGTTGACTAGATTCTTGTTTATTGGCTTCAATAAATCTTCTGTCCTGAAACGTAACATATGGTCCTCATCCTTTGTGGTGTGGAGCCTTCCTGGAACTGTTGAAACGACTGTATTTCAACAGTTCCAAGAAGGCGCCACACCAATTTGTACCACTCAGGTGACCCTGAGGACACAGATAAACCTAAGAATACACTAAGGCAGAAACTTGTCCAACCCAAAGATAAAACACTGATATAAATTGAGCAACATGGTATACACAGTACAATGCAGCGAGCCATGCACAGATTTGTACATTTGGGAAACAAAACTACCACTCATAAGCGCATGGCATAACATAGGAGAACAAACTAGATTCAGCAGTCCATCTGCATTTAAAAGACACAGGCCACTCTTTTGAAGACAGCAAAGTACACATTTTGGACAGAGAGGACCACTGGTTTGAAAGAGGGGTCAAAGAACCTACACAAGTTAAAAATTACAGGCTGATCTCATTGCTCAATGTGGACTATAAATTATTTATGCTGGTTATAACACAAAGATTGAAAATAATCATTCACAAATACATACATGGCTGGCTTGATCCCATCCTTTCGATTTTAATTTGAAATTGGTTTTAACTGGGTTGTTTTAAATTGTGGGCCGAAATTATTTAATATCTTTTAAACTGTTTTTAAATTTTATATGCTATGTTTTATCTCAGCTGTTCACCGCCCTGAGTCCTGTTGGAGAAGGGCGGTATAAAAATCAAATAAATAAATAAATAAATAATACATGCAGATCAAAACGGCTTTGTCCCAAGAAGACAGATTAAAAACAACATAAGAACAATTATCAATGTCCTGGAATATTATGAGAAAAGAGTTGATAAACAGGTAGCCTTAATCTTTTTAGATGCACAGAAGGCATTCGATAACTTAAATTGGAACTTCCTCATATTACAACTAGAGGCCATGGATTTCGGTGACAAATTTCTACACATGATTAGAAAAGTATATTCTTTCCAAACGGCCAAAATTATGATTAATGGGGACATGACTGATAATCTGGATATACAAAAAGGTGTGAGATAGGGTTGTCCCTTATCTCCACTATTGTTCATAATCTCATTGGAAATACTATTAAATGAAGTTAGGAAGGATGCGGAAATAAAAGGTCTGAGAACACAAAAAGAAGAATATAAATTACAAGCCTTCGCTGACGACGTGGTATTTATATTGGAGCAACCGGAAATAACAGGAATCAAACTTTTAGCGAAGAGGAATATGGAAAAGTGGCGGGGCTCAAAATTAACAAACAAAAAACTAAAGCACTAACAAAGAATTTGACAAAGGTACAGGAGACAAAATTAGAAGACAAACTAGGAATACAAATTGTAAAGAAAGTAAAGTATCTAGGAATCTGGCTTATCGTTAAAGCAATAACAATTAGAGAAGACAACTATAACAAACTAATGAAACAAATTAGAAAGGATCTGGAAACATGGAACAAATTACAACTGTCATTCTTAGGGAAAATCGCATCCATAAAAATGAACATACTGCCTAGATTACTCTACCTTTTTCAAGTAACCCCAATTTGGCCAGGAAAGGATTTCTTTAAGGACTAAATAAAATAATAACAAAATTCATTTGGAATGGGAAAAAGGCCAGAATTAAAATAAAGTGTATGCAAGATACTCGGGAAAAGGGAGGATTAGGCCTACCGGACTGGGAGATATACTACAAAGCAGCATCTTTAAATTGGATAAGGGATTGAATAGACCTCAAGAATAAAAGAACGCTACTCCTAGAGGGTTTTGAACTACAACGCGGCTGGCACGCCTTCCTGTGGGAGGGAAAGGATAAGCAACATGGATACTTCCAACAACATATTATCAGAGGATCATTGTACAAAACATGGCAAGAGATTAGAAAGCACTATACTAAAATTCCACGATGGCTATCGACTATGGAAGCACTAATTTACCCCAACGTCATGGACATAGAGAAAATGAGAAGTTATAAAGAATTATTGAACAATGAAGGAGATTTACAAACAAGACAAGAATTAAAAAATCAGGGTATAGACATTGATTGGTGGCCATATTTGCAAATAGAATCAAGATATAAAACAGATTGGGCACAATTCAGATTTCAAAATGAACCAAATGAATTGGATAAAATATTATAAGGTACAGATGAGAAAATGATAACCAAAATTTATAAGTATCTAATAAAATACAAATTAGAAGAGGAGGTGGTTAAAGAAAACATGATAACTTGGGCCAAAAACATAGGATATAACATTGAATTGGACAACTGGGAAAAATTGTGGAAGATAAATTATAAGCTGACAATGTCTATACCCTATAAGGAAAACCTTTATAAAATGTTCTACCGATGGCACCTCCCACCAGCGCCCCTGGCCAAGATGTTCCCAAATACGTCCCCAATGTGTTGGAAATGTAAATCACAGAAAGGGACATACTATCATCTCTGGTGGTCATGCCGAAAGGCAAAACAATACTGGCAAGAAATTAAGATAATGATTGAAGAAAATACAAAACAAAAACTGGAAATGAGGCCGGAAATCTTTCTATTGGGAATAATCACAGCACAATACACCAAAGAAATAAAATATCTGATCATCCATATCCTCACAGCAGCACATATACTTTTTGTCCAAAATTGGAAATCTGAGCAGTTACCAACAGAAGACAAAATAATCACCAAAATCACAGAATGCACAGAAATGGATAAGCTCACAAAAGAACTACAAGAGAAAGATGATACTGATTACTATTTAGTGTGGCAAAGATGGTACAGCTGGCTGGAGGGAAAAATAGGAATATAAAAACAATTTTTGACTATTCAATAGGAATGTATAGAATTAAATAAAGAGTGAACTATAATGTCCTATATACAAATATGTAAATATATGAACATAGATATAGATACGAATAGAGAAAGATAAGAGAAATAGAAAAATAACCCACCGATGTAGTAACTTTAAGAGTCAGTCATGGGACTGAATTGATGTTTGTTTGTTCTGTATGTTGTCTTAATGTATTTATGTTTGTTTGTATATTTTTTATAAATAAAAACTTTTTTAAAAAAAGAAAGAGGGGTCAAAGAAGCCATCTATGTCTAAATTGAACAGCCCTCTCTCAACAGAGGGGGAGGGATATGACATCATCTATCTCTAATCTACAACACAGTCCTTTCAACAGTTCCAAGAAGGTTCCACACCCATTCACACCACTCAGGTGACCCTGATGACACAGATAAATCTCCAGATGATCTTAACGACCCGCTAAAAGAATGCAAATGACCAACTGTCTGCAAGGAGTATAAATCCTTCCATTTCCCACCATCCAGTCAGAGCTAAAGAAGCTTCTTGGATGAGAAGCGAAACGTCTTCAAAGAAAAAACCAGAAAGTCCAGTTGCCTCTTGAAAAAAGCACTTTTGGGACAAAATTTTGCTGGTATGTTTCAGACACCAGCATCACCAACTCTCACAAGTGGGGCTGCCAGTGCTGGCACTCGCCGCTCTCTCACACACACCAGCCCACCACTCATACAGCCCAGTTGTGAATAGGCCATGGCCCGGTAGTGGGCCATGACCCACAAATTGGGAACCCCTGGCCTTAGAAAAATCCCTCAGATGTATATCAGTTCCTCATCTATTGCCTGAATTATGAAGGCCCATTGGTCCCAGTACTAGTTCTAAGTTTAAGGGATTCTTGGGAAGAAACATTTTCCTCTATCTTGCATCTATGTCCTTTGCTTATTTTTCTATGCTAAGGAATGTACAGGACAAATATCAGGTGCAAGGATCCAGAACAACACTATAAGTTGATCAGAGTTGCTTCTTTATTGTTGCCTACCTATTTACAAGAATCTCACCAGACTATCTACATTCTCTTGGGAACAATCAGATAAAGGCTTCAGAAATTCTTGGAGGTCTCCGACACTTCCTTTCCTGCAAGGTCTCTAAGCCCACCAGTCTTTTCCTTTCTTCCCCACTCTAGCTGGAGATTCCATTACATCAAGTTAGGAATATTCCCTCATCTTCTCTCTTGAATCCCAGCATGCATTTTCAGAAAAATGAGGCAGCAGAATAAATAGCAAGGAGCAGTACCTTGTTTCCCCCAAAATAAGACATCCCCTGGTAATAAGCCCAATCGGGCTTTTGAGTGCATGGCAATAAGGCCGAGTACTTATTTCATGGTTCAAAAAAATATAAGACAGGGTCTTATTTTCGGGGAAACACAGTAGCAAAAAACCCAAGGGGCTGTGCCCACTAATGCCCAACTTTGGGATGAGCCCCCACTAGGCAGCAATTGCTTTCTATGGATTTTATTTATCAAAACAAATATCTTACTGTGAAAGGACCTTAGTGTCTTCTATCAGAGAGCTAAAAGAAACCAGAGCAGGGGTGAAATGCCCCCGGTTCGGACTGGATCACCCGATCCGGTAGCGATGGCGGTGGGTGGTTCGGAGAACCAGTAGCAAAAATCCCTTCCCCCCATTCCCATCAGAGGCTTTTATCCTTACTTTTAAAAGCATTTTTTTACAACCTCTTTGGCTGAAGAGGTTGTAGAAAAAATGCTTTTAAAAGGTTAAAAAAAAAGCCTCTGACAATCCCAGCTGAGCAACGCAATCAGAGGCTTTTTTTTTTACTTTTAAAAGCAATGCTTTTAAAAGTAAAAAAAAAAAAGATTGCGCGCCACAGCTGATCACTCCCCCTCGTGCGCTGTTCTACTTACCACATGCCTCCTTTTGGCATGCACTGCACATGCACATCTCGCATTTGGTGCGTGATGCGCACTGCGCATGTGCAGCCAACAAACCGGTAGTAAACTGGTTCAGATTTCACCACTGAACCAGAGCTTCATAATACCAATACCAATAACGTGTCAAGCAATAAAGCCTTGAGGTCACGAATATACAGTAAACAATCTAAAGTTTCAAATGGGTTATTTAAGCTAAATTAAGATAAAGTGGTTAATCAAATTTGTGATGGCAAGGGGTCCTGTCAGTCTGAACAAGTAACCAAATAAACCCATTAAAATTAAACTGTTGCCTTCAGGGTTCTTTTAAACTCATCATACACTGTTATTAAGATTCTTATGAAGCTGGAAATTAGTCTCTGAGTAGAAGTGGGCAATATTTTTTTCCCTGTTGATTGCTGCAAATCAGCTAATGAATGGGTTGCTTTTTTTTTCTTTTAAAACCTTCCCTCCCTCCCATGCACCAGGCTGTAAAAGAAGGGAGATCTTTCCAGAGATCTGATTCCTTGCAGAGAATTTTTGGAATTAGACCAAGAACACAAGTGACCAAAGAAAATAAAGAGCAGTGGGTTATGGTCAGAGCCATCATGTTGATTTTATCAGCCTCTAGTAGATGACTACTCTGAAATCATCAACTGGCCACTCTTGATTTAAGAAGGATCCATTCAAGAAAACACTATAGCAGGGAGATTAATATTTGTGACTATGGCTACTATAAAGCCTATAATATATTTATTTATTTATTAGTTCAATGTATATGCCACCCTTCTCCGGAGACTAAGGGCGGCTTACAATGCGTATATATCCTAAATAATGACTAATCTATCCAAGCTGCTGACTACTCAACTATATCTCATGTATTTTTATGGAATAAGGAAACCCTCTAGTATAATTAGGTTTATTTAGTAAATAGGGAGAGACATGTGAAAAGCCAGTGTTTCAATTTGTTTGCATACAAAGTAAAAATTAAACCTTAAGTTGTTTATTTGTAGCAATAAACAAAGCAAACTTAATAAAGATTTTAATCTAGAAACCTTTTATAGCTGTAAGATAAAAATAACCAGAAACACTGTGATGCTGAAACTTTGGTATTACCTTCACTTAACCTACTATTGCTTATACTAAATGAAGGGAGTTTTATTTCACTAAGCTAGCATTTTAGGACTGTGCAAAACTTCTGAAAGGGATACTTCACCTTCTGTTAGTTCCTGAAATGTTTCTTCCACAAAACTATCTATGGCTGTTCACCGGCCTGAGTCCTTCGGGAGAAGGGCGGTATATAAATTTAAATATTAAATTAAATTAAATTAAATTAAATTAAATTAAATTAAATTAAATTAAATTAAATTAAATTAAATTAAATTAAATTAAATTAAATTAAATTAAATTAAATTAAAACATTGAAGCGGCTGCTTTGGAAAATATCCCTAATTCTCTGCACGTGCACGAAGAGACATTTCTTTGGAACTGCCTTTGATGTGTATGGATGTACACCTGCAAGGGCAACAATCTTGGAAGAAGTCACAAGAGCCTTTCCAAGGATACAGATCCTTTCCCACTTCAAAGACAGATGCCTTGTTTGCATTGACAGTTATTGGTTCACATAACTGAACTGGGTCAGCCCCAACTGCGCACAAAACAGGGAGTAGGAGGTGAATGCAGTTTAGATGTAGTCCTCCACATATGACCACATTTGAGCCTGAAATCTTGGTCACTGAATGAGGAGCCTCATGAATGCTTCGTTTCATGTCCACAATCCCAGCTCTTCAGTTGCAGTTATTAAGGGACTGTGCGGGTTCTTAAATAGACTATCAGGGAGAGGCCTGGGTCTTCTGAGCCTTCCAGTGGGGAGGGGCAATGCTGGTGAATGCCAGCATTCTGAAAAGATCACAATGTTGGCATTCACTGGTGTTTTTGCCAGATTTGAGGTCTGTTCCTGCAGTACATGGGAGGATCCCCCCCCTTTGCAGGGAATCTCTTTTGTGTGTACGTTATAAGTGAGATTTGATCTTTGATAATATGCTACACTACTTCTTTTGTCATTCTCTTCATGTTCTGTTAAAAGATATTTAAAAGTGTTTCCATTGTTTTATATTAAAATATACAGTAATACTAATAATACATAGATAACATCAAAACATAATTTTATTTCTGCACATTCCAGACTTTGAGAAGCTTTTTATTCTAGAGATCTGCTACATCAACCATTCACATGTCATCTAAATACATTAAGAATGCATGACATGCTTTGCTTTTCCTTTGACCTTTTTCCTGGTGCTGGGAGCCATTATGCTATTGTACAAGATATTCTTACAGATAACCATATGTTCTCAGTACTACCACTGCAGTCTGTTAAGAGGTTCTGAGTCATCACACCCACAACAATTCTTGAGTCCTTAAAACAAGGTAATGTTTATTAGCAACTCACTGAACATTTTTCACTTCAGTGCCCTGTTAACAAGGAAAAGTCTGACCTCAGATGAATGTCTTGGTTCAACAAATTAAGCCCCAAATGTCTTTATTCTTCCTACCATTCCTAGCCTATTATTGATAATTATATTTTCTGACAAAAGTAAGAGATCAGGAAAATGAATCTGGTATTAGAAAACAAGACTTACGTAATTTTATCACACACTGTGCACTTCCAACTGCCATCAGTTCCTAAAACATGACATTTGTTACAAACTCTCAGGCCACATATTTGGCAGTGGTCACCTCTGTCAAAAATTAAGCCCAAATTTTTCTGACAGCGAGTGCAGACCCTGCTGTTATGTTGCTGGTGATGCCGTCCACCTTTACGTTTCACTTCCAATAACTCATTCTTTAGTTTTCTAGAAAAGAAAAGGAAAATCCAGAAGTCCACAAAAACATCTTGAAATATATGAATTTGCTGTTTCATTAATAGTCAAAGGGCTTATGCAAGACACAATTTGAGAATGGCATCAAAACTGATGTATACCTAATATTTTTAACCCTTTGCCCCCAGAGAGCATAAAATATTCTATAGCAGTGGTTCTCAACCTTCCTAATGCCGTGACCCTTTAATACAGTTCCTCATGTTGTGGTGACCCCCAACCATAAAATTATTCCTAAAACCATTGAAAATATGTGTTTTCTGATGGTCTCAGGCGACCCCTGTGAAAGGGTCATTCGACCCCCAAAGGGGTCGCGACCCACAGGTTGAGAACCACTGTTCTATAGGCTGATTTTTTACACAGCAGCCTTGCAATCAAAAGGAAAGACACACAAATCCCAATACAGAATCCATCTAGCTTGCAGGTCTTCTGAGAAATGAAATGCTGGTATACCTGCATAAGGTGTCAGACTAGTAGTGAGGAGACCCACGTCAATCACGTCGGTCAATCATGGAAATTTCCTCGGTCACTTTGGTCCACTCTCTCAGCCCAACATATCTGCTTGCAGGAAAATAAGAGGGAGGAGTTCCATATATGCTACTTGAGATCCTAAGTTAAAATTGGGATGCGTGTATGCTGTCAGTTCAGTGTCAACTCCTGGTATTAGTGTCTGGCATTTTCTTGGGAGCATTTTCAGAAGTGGTTTGCCATTGCCTTCTTCAATGCGGTGAGAGAATACAGGTAGTCCTCAACTTAAGACCACAATTGAGCCCAAAATTTTTGTTACTAAGTAAAACATTTATTAAGTGAATTTTGCCCCATTTTACAAACTTTCTTGCCACAGTTGTTAAGTGAATCACTGCAGTTGTTAAATTAGTAACATGATTGCTAAGTGAATCTGGCTTCCCCATTCACTTTGCTGGTAAGAAAGTCACAAAAGGTGACCTCATGACCCTGAGACACTGCAACCATAATAAATATGAGTCAGTTGCCAAGTGTCTAAATTTTGATCACATGACCATGGGGATGCTGTAACAGTCATAAGTGTGAAAAACAGTCTTAAGTCACTTTTTTCAGTGCAATTGTAACTTTGAATGTCACTAAATAAACTATTGTAAGTCGAGGACTACCTGTAATTGGCCCAAGTCACTTGGCTGTTTTTTTGCCTAAGCAAGAGTAAAACTCATGTTCTCCTGACCTCTAGCCTGGTGCCTTAACCATTATAACTGGCTCTTACAAGTAAGAAAGGCTGTCCAAATGAAGGAGCAGGTCATGACTGATGACAAGTTCAGTCCAGACTATTTGTTCTGTCATGGATACTATAAAATCTTTTATCCATTATAAAACAAGCTCAAAAGTAGTTATAGGCAAAGGGATGAAGCAAATGGATGTGGGATGTGAAATCATATTAACATGGTTGGGACATGTATCATAATTTGATTACCTTACAGCAAGAGACAAAGCTTTGTTCAATTTGAGTCAATAATCCAAGTGTGATATATTAACATTTCACTGCATTAGTTGGAGCTTGATCCTGAATCCCAGTATAGTTTTAGCCAAACAGCCCAATAATCTGTCTCCATAAGGCAATTATGCAGATTCTGCAGAGAGGCAGCTGTTAAGCGTATACAGCATTTTTTTGTGACTCATAAAACACTTGTACAGTATGATATGCATTTCCTCCAGAGAAGGAAGATTCAGAAGATTAAACCTATGGTGTTATGAGCTATACAAAGGCATCATACTTGCTGCAAAAGGATAAGCAAATCTTCAGAAGGAAAATGCTAAAATACCCATTCTGTTATTTTTGGCACCATCTCTTTCAAGTCAATACTGACTTTTCATTCTATCTAATCCAATTCTGACATACTATCTTGAAACTAGCTACAAAAGTAATCTTTTTTTAAAAAAAGTTTATTTATACATTTTCATTTAACATGCATATGTGCTTTGTGAACAATGTATTGTCTGGGTCAATTTGCTTACATAATAATACTTTTCAAGATCCTAATTTATACCTCTATTATTCAACCATTTATAAAACAAGTCCCATGTTCAAAAATACTCTATTTTCTTTTTCTTTTATCTTTAATGTTGGTATGTCCATTTCTGCACAATATAATATTTTTTAATTACATTCTTCTCTTGGTGTTTCCTCATTTTTCCAGTACTGTGCAAATACAATTCTTGCTGCTGTCAAAACATGTAGTATTAAATACAAATTCCCCTTAGCATACTTTTCTGGTACTATACCTAACAAAAATATTTCTGGTTTATAATCTATATGCAGCTTTAACATTTTTTCTATCCATGTATTTTTGTCTAATATTTCTTTGCTTTCACACGTCTACCACATGTGATAGTACGTGCCTGGTGTCTGATTACATTTCCAACATTTGGCGGACATGTTTATAAACATCTTTGGTAAGTGCCACCTATAAAATATTTTGTATAAGTTTTCTTTATAGGTAGTTGCCATTGTCAACTTACAGTTTCTTACCCAGAGTTTTTGCCATTTTTCTAATTCTATAGTATATCCAAAAAAAATTGCCCATACTATCATTGTCTTTTACACCTGTTCATCTTCCATTTTTAAACTTAACAAAAAGTTACATAGTTTATTAACTTTTCATCTACCTCAACATTATTTGATCAAATATTGTTTGCTCTTTGTAGAAGCCATATACCCTAACATATTCCTCATATCTTGATTGTATTTGCATATGTGGCCACCATGATAGGTCCACACCTTGATTTTGCAACTCATGTTTAGTTTTAAGTTTCCCTTCCACAAAATATCTTTATATGTTAAGATTTTTTTCCAGATTTACTACATTTGGATGTGTAAATGTTTCCATTGTTGAGAGCCAAACTGGTATTTTCAAATAAATTTTTGCTTTCACCTTTTCCCATACTATGAGTACAGCATTTCTTATATACTGTCTTTCAAAATATCTATGAGTCCTATTTTTATCATACCATAAAAAAGCATGCCATCCTAATTGGAGGTCATGATCTTCCAGAAACAGTAATCTTCTGTGTCCAAGAGTTATCCATTCTCTCACCCATGTTAATATGGAAGCTTGATAATAAAGTTCCCAATCTGGCAGTCCAAAGCCCCCATTATTTTTAGTTTCTTGCAACATTTTCAATCTTATTCTTGCTTTTTTCCCTTGCCAAATGAATTTCAGAATTGTTGTGTTTAGCTCATCAAAGAATTTTTTTCCTATTTTTATGGGAATCGTTTGGAATAAAAAAGTAGCTTCAGCAAAATATTCATTTTTAAAGTTGCAATTCTCCCTACCATTGATAATTGCAAATTTTCCCATTTCTCCAAATCTGCTTTCATTTGTTGTAGTAGTCTTATATAGTTATCTTCTTTAATTATTAGACATCTTGCTATTAAATATATTCCCAAGTATTTTACTTTCTTAACTATCTGTAGGTCTAATTTTTTGGTCAATTCACCTTTCTGTTTTTCTGTAAGATTTTTGACTAATATTTTAGTTTTATCTTCTCCATATTCTTCTATTTTTCCCATTAACTTAGGGCCAGTTTCCAGTGGTTCTTCTAAAATAAATACTAGGTCATCTGCAAATGCTTGTAATTTATATTTTTCCTTTTTTATTTCCATACCTTTTATTTCAAAAGTAATCTTTGTCCTCTAGCATTTGTACTGGCACTGATAAGGCACTCTGAGTCACACATACATCCATATGTTGAGGCCCAATTTACTTTACAAATACAACATTAATATAAGGTGACCAGACATCCCGCTTTTGGCGGGACAGTCCCGCTTTTGAACAATTTGTCCTGCATCCTGCAGTGTTTTTAAAAAGTCCCGATTTTTGGAAAGAATGCACGGCGCAGTGGTGGGTTGCTCCCGGCTGCCTCCTGAGTCCCAGCTGATGGCTAGAGGGAAAAAAACTGTTTAAACTCTTGCCGCGGGGCTTCAAAGGGCCGCCCTACAGCTGATCAGTGTTAAAAGAAAACAAATGAGTAGACCGATGCCTGCAAAAATAGAAAAAACAGCCCCTTACAACTTCCGCATAGGTTAATTAGCACAAGTTGATTAGCTTGGCTTCCCGACTCTCAGCTGATTTGCTCTCAGCTGTTTTGCTCAGGGCTCTGTAGTTGCTAGCTGCAGAGTGCTGGAGATTTTTTCCCCCTAACTATGCTTTAAAAACGAAACTGAAAGTAAAGCAGGGTCTTTGCTGCAACGTGGCAAAATGAGGCAGAGAGAGATTTCTTTTTCTTTTTCCTCACCAAAAAAGGTAGGTGCAAAACTGCAAACAATGGGAAATTTAGGGCAAAAGAGGAGAGTTCAAGATTTTAAAACACAAAAGAAAAAAAGCTCTATTTAACTAGGGAATTGTAATAATTGAGATACTATTAATTATATATTGTGTTGAAAGCAGAAATGGTTAAGTTGTGGTTTGGAGGAATATATGGGGGAAATTATTTGCTTTATTATTATTGGTAAATATAATTAATTGATTTACATAATTACATAATTAACCAATGTGAGGATGGATATAAAAATAGATGACAATGGGAAGGGGTATAATATAGAATAGAAGGGAAAAAATGAATTTGATTAAGATTAGAGATGAGGATGAAGGGTAATATTGGTTTTTTTAAAAAATAGATGAGGAATAAATATGGCAAAAAGGAAATATAGAAATCGTAAATTTAATTGAAATGACTAAACACTGTTTAAATTTGTGAACCGGCCAAATATTCTGTTCAAAGAAAATACATTGTATGTTTGTATGTGTGTTTCTAATTATTGCTATTTATTCATATTTGTTCTCTTTTATTCTTTAAAGTTTAACAATTCATTCTTTATCTTAATATCTTTATATTTGTTTGGGGTTGGCTTTCTTCCCTTTCATCTTTTTTTTTTGTACAGCAATCTTTCTCCTCAAACCTACCACCTCTCTCTTTTCTTTCCTTCTTACTTTCTCTTCCCCCCC